CACTGCCCGCATTACATCCGCCCTGCGCAGAGATCCGCCCTGTCCCCTCGCAGACCCAACCATCCAATGACACCATTTGACTGCTCCGCCTCAGTTTCCCCAGCTGTAGATGAGGGCTGGGCACGTCCCTGCGGCAGGAAGCTCCTCCATGCCCACACAATTTCAACCAAGTGTTTTTTCTTTCATTCATTCATTCATTCATTCATTCATTCATTCATTCATTCATTCCCCTGTTCCCTGCGGTCCGATCCAGAGGCCAGCACCAGGAGCTGCTGCCCCAGAGCCTCTTCTGGGCCTGTGCTCCCCGTTTCCCCCCAGGACATCCCTGCAAGGGTCTGAGGGACCCCACAGATCTGGTGGGTGCCCAGGGTGGTGGGTCCTGCAGGTGTGGGCAGGCTCTGCCTGTGGTAACGATGTTCCCATCCGTGGGGTCTTGCACAGGGTTTTGTGTTGCTCCATTTCTACAAAGGCCCTGAGTAGCTCTCAGACCACAATGGTTTTTTTCCATTGCCGCTGTAGACGAACGACTCCCATATGGTGCTGGTCAAACTGGGAAAGAAGCAGCCTTTTTTGTCCTATTCACTAAACAAAGAAACCCAAAAGACATTGCCTCAGCCCCCAAGGTTTCTTTAGCCCCAAATGAAAACATTTTGTATTGGTTTCAGTTCAATTTGGGCTTTTAAAACACATTTTCCCTTTTTCCTCCTCCTGTATTTAGGCCCATTTGAAATGGAAAAGCCATTTCTAAGTAGTACACGGAGAAATGGGCCCATCCTGGTACTCCTGGCACGGGCTTTGCCATGCAGAAAGCATCTACATCTTTTTGGGGTGCTTCCAAAATCTTCATTAGATCTTAAATCTCTTCCAAAACCTCCATTAGTCCTCAGGCTGAAACACTTTGCAGGGCAACCTGGTCCCACCAGCAGATGGGACATCCTTGCATATGGGGCTCAGCACCCCGTCCTCTGCCAGGGACGTGCCCCAGCCAGCTCAGCGAGAGCTCATCTGACTGCACCAGGAAGAGAATAACCAAACAACCCACCCATTTCATCATTAAAAATTTAACATTAGCTTCGGAAGAGAAGAATTCGGGCTTGTGAGAGGCCTCCTGGTGCTGATGCTCGGATGCAGAT